GAGTGGCGACGTCTGAAGTAGGCAGAGCTGATCGTGATGAAGTCTATGAAGCCGCCGATGACGTCCACGATGAGAAGTCCGGAATGCCGTCGAGGAAGAGCCGCAGCGTCGACGAGCTGAAGTAGCAAAACTGATGTGGATGGAGTACTGAGAAGTCAAAGGCGTGGGAAGGTAAGTCAGAGTCAATCGTYGTATCGAGCAGGACGACGACGAGTGCGCTGTGGATGCTCAGAGGCATCCGGCTGCTACTGAAGGTCTGCCTCAGATGGAGCAGGCTCGACTTCAGCGGTCTCCTCAGCCGGAGGAGAAGGAGGAGGGTCAGTGGGCTGAGGAGGAGCAGTGAACCCAGCACGACGAGTACGGTCATAGGCACGCACCAACATGCGAGCGTGCTGCAAGTGCTCGAGGGGCTCCTAGGTATCCTCCTCATCAGGGTAACCCTTCCAACGTACGAGATACTCGACGTGGGGAGGGTTGTCGTCGGTGACTCGGCGACCAATGATGTCTGAAATGAGGAACTCCTCGTGGCCGTCCACCATGATGGGTGGAAGGCGCTCGTATGGTTGTCCAGCGAAAAGCTCGGACGGTCTGCGGTAAGAACGCAGTAACGAGACGTGGTAGACATCATCCACACGAGTCTGGCGTAGGTAGTCGGGCAGCTTCACACGAAAGTTGACCGAGCTAGATGTCGTATCAGAACCGACGGCCTGGAGGATGCGGCATGGGCCAAAGAAGCGACGCCGAAACTTGCGAAGCGTGTCCGCTTCGAGCTGTACGTGGCGGGCGTCGATAAGCACATCATCACCTACCTTGAATGGGTGATCCATCCTYGATCGGTTCGCACGTGCTGCCATGCGAGTCTGGGAAGCGGCTATGTGCTCATTTGCGGTCTTCATAATCGACGTCATGTGTGCAACCCAATCATCCAGCGCGGGACAACTCGTGTCGGGGTGCATCTGGGACGGTCGAAGGAAGTCCGCGGGAACACGCGGGTGATAGCCGAGGTCGCAATAGTAAGGCGACATCCCCGTGGCTGGCGAGACGGCGTGGTTGTAGGTCATCTCCGCGTGGGCAACATGGAGATCCCACTGCTGGTCGTCACGAACAATCTTTCGGAGAATATCCCCGAGAGTCCTGTTCCTGATCTCGGTCTGACCATCAGTCTGAGGATGGTAAGACGAGGAAAAGCGGAGGTGAGTGTCGTACACCTCGTGGAGCCGTCGCCAGAATCGGCTAGTAAAGCGCGGGTCATGGTCAGATATGATGCTCAGAGGTAAACCGTGGTCACTCACGACTCGGTGAAATACGATGTCGGCGACCTCACGTTCACTGATGGCATAGCGACACGGAACAAAGCGTGCACGCTTCGTGAAGCGATCGACGACGACCAGGATAGCATCTTGACCGCGGGGGGTCGGAGGTCGAAGAGGACCGATAAAGCCCATCGGGATGGACTGCAAACGACCCTCAGGGATAGGAAGAGGCTGGAGCAAACCATAAGGTAGGTGGTTCGCACTGTTCACCTCCTGACAGGTGGGACACTCTGCGACGTAGTCCTTCACAAAGTCCTTGCGCTTCAGCCAGACGTACATGCGGCTCACACGAGCCAACGTCTTGTGGAAGCCCATAGCTGCCTGGTCATGGAACTCTGCTACTGCTCGGACACGTAGCTGTCCAGTGGAGGGAACACAAATACAGAGCTCTCTGGTGCCCTATGAACCGTGCCAGTACACAAGACCATTGTCCCCGAGAGAGTAGTTCGGGACGGTCTTGCCACTCCGAAGGGTCGCGTGGATGTCGCGATAGTCGGGGCAGTGGCGGTAGTGAGTGCGAAACTCGTCGATCACCGAGTGGTGGACGGTGCTGACCGAGATGGAAGAGAGCTGGATGTGCTCCTGGTCGTGGTCTGGGCGCCGGGATAGAGCATTTGCGACCCGATTAGTCTCACCCTTGATGTGCTCAGTGGTGAAACTAAACTCGGATAGGTCGCGCCACCAGCGAGCCTGTCGAGGAGTGAGCTTCGGCTTTGTCAGAAAAGCCTGGACAACAGAGTTGTCCGTGCGCACCGTGAATGGTGCCCCGTGCAGGTAGTGATGCCAATGCCGAGCGGCATAAACTAGTGCGAGAACCTCACGTTCATCAGTAGTGTAGTTTATCTCGGCGGGCAGGAGCTGACGGGAGTAGAAGGCTATCGGACAATCACCTG